CCTGGGTCCCCGCGCCGCCACCGCCTCCCCACGTGCACGGTCGTTCCCGGAGCGGACGCTCTGCGCTTTCTCAAAAAAAAATTCGTGACTTTTCTCCTGTCTCTTTCTCTCTATCCCTACTTTTTGCATAAAGAAAAAAAAAAGTTGTATCGAAGGTGTACACCGGTTACCACCACCCAATTATCCTTCCTTCCTTCCTCTCCGCCCCGCTGTTTTTTTTTTTTTCGTTGTTGTTTGTTTTAAAGCAGCGGCAACCTTGTGTAGTGTTTATTTTGTTTCACGATCGCTAGCTCCTTTGCTTGGTCCGGGCGGCTGCTGCGCGGCGGAGTGTCGTGGACCTCATGTAGAAATGACAACAATGGAAGGGGCCAGCGGGTCGAGTTTTGGAATAGACACGATTTTGTCCAGTGCCAGTTTGGGCAGCCCCGGCATGATGAATGGAGATTTCCGCCCGCTCGGCGAGGCCAGGACTGCGGATTTTAGGGGTCAGGCCACCCCGTCCCCTTGTTCGGAGATCGATACCGTAGGAACGGCGCCTTCTTCTCCCATCTCGGTCACCTTGGAGCCCCCGGAGCCGCATCTAGTCGCAGACGGGCCCCAGCACCACCACCACCTCCACCACAGCCAACAGCCGCCGCCGCCGCCAGCCGCGGCCCCGACGCAAAGTTTGCAGCCTTCGCCCCAACAGCAGCCGCCGCCGCAGCAGCAGCAGCCGCCGCCGCCTCCCCAGCAACTCGGCTCGGCCGCCTCGGTCCCCAGGACTTCCACCTCTTCTTTTTTAATTAAGGACATCTTGGGCGACAGTAAACCTCTGGCGGCGTGTGCACCCTACAGCACCAGCGTGTCCTCTCCGCATCATACCCCGAAGCAGGAGACCAATGCAGCGCACGAGAGCTTCAGGCCAAAGCTGGAGCAGGAGGACAGCAAAACCAAACTCGACAAGCGGGAAGAGTCCCAGAGTGACATCAAATGCCACGGTGAGTTGCGCCGCCCGGCTCCTTCAACCGTCTAGCTTCTCCTACTCCTGGTTCCCTTTCCTGCCTTCAGCTGACCTTGAATTTCTCTGGTGGGGAGTTATTCCGATAGCTTCTCGGGAGATTGGGCGCGGGTCAAGACGGAAGGCGGTCTGGGCACGCGATTTGGGGACTCATTTGAAGTTCTGTTATTGCTACATTTTCTACCCCTCAATCTTCACCTCCATCCAGCTTCTTTCTGTTTTATTTAGTTTTAGTTTAAAGGGGTGGGGGCGGGCAGCGGCGGCGGAGGGAATCTGACGGGTAATAATTATCGTTGATAAGGGGGGCCAACTTGAAATTTTTCTAGCCGAGTCCTTCGGAAGGAGGATGAGGGTGTGTGGGAGCGAAAAACAGACCTAGGAGCTTGGTGTCAACGGGTAGGATCACAACCTGCTGTTGATTTTTTAAAGCAAATGATTTCATTTCTTCTCCCCCCCGCCCCCCGCACACCCCGTATTTTCTCAACACCGTTACAGGAATTACCGGATTTAATGAAGAAACAATTTCCAAGTTGATTTCCAGAGCAACTTTTTAAAATTATATCGTGATTTATATAAAGGAAGCTGTCACTGCAAAATTTTTGTAATCAGTTTTTTAAAACACCCTTCTTACCCACAGTTCTGTCTGTCTCTTAGTAAGGTTGAAAACAAAACAAATGTTTTTTCGTCCCTTGCAAGTAACTGGGAAGTAGCGTTCATGAAAGCGAAAGTGTATGGAATTGAATTTATCTGTTTTTTGTAAAATCAGAAGAGGACTATTGAAATTGTCCTTCACCTCCTTTTTTCCATTTTGTCCTCAGACAATTTCATAATTTACTGCTTTAGTCTTTGCATGGCAGAAGAGTTTCAACATACCAGGAGAGTTCTTTCTTTTACTGATAGATTTATTATTCTTGTTGTTATTATTAATCCTTACTGTCTCTGGGAAAGATGTGTGCTGACTGTCTGGAAGGTAGGACATTGGCTCCTCATTTTACTATTTTAGCATTAGCATAATAGTGCCCAAAACAGATGTACAGTCTGATCTGGTGATTTTTTGTGCACCAACCTCCCCAGTGGGTCAATTAGAGAGATTATTGTTCTTCCTGCAGGGAAGATCAAGGAGCGCTGCAAAAACGGGTACAAACAGAGAGGGATTGACATATCGATTTCCCAGCATTTTAGTAAAAAAACCAAAGTTGACAAATAGAATCCGGAAATTTCCATGCTGTCACCTGGATGGTTTCAGTGATTTTGAACTCACCTCGGTGTCTGGGTGACATTTTCTTCCTGAAGCTTTGAAAGACCTGATGCTGGTGGCTGCACAGAGCTTGATTCCAACATTTCTCAAGTGCATTTGAGAAAAGAAAAACAAATGCCTGTAACTTTCGGTAAAAAGAATTTTAAAAGGCACACCTCCTCAAAAAAAAAAAAAAAAGAGTGGAAAGACCATTTGAAAACTCCCGAGTGAAAAGAACAAAGTCGTAGTGAAAACAATAAAGGAATGGGACAGTGTCCCCCCCACCCCGCCTGCCACCAAGGAAACAACAATAAGGAAAGGATCCTTTATTGAAAAAAAAAATTTTTTAACTTCCAATGACGGAAAGATCAGAAACCTTTTTTGGAACCCTTTTAGGAGCACGGCACAAGGACCCACGCTCCCAACCCAGAAAAGGGTCCTCCTCCTCCGTGCTGGCTCAGGCCCAAGCGTGTGTATGAGGGGATGGGGGGGGTTGCGGTGGTGGCAGTGGGAGAGTATAGTCCCCAGAGACCAGAGGCAGGTTTGGGAATGAGGAAGTGTTGTCAGGAGGACACTACCCTTCCCCGCTCCAGGCTAATTTGCGGCTGTGGCTGGGTTTCTGTCGTAGGAACAAAGGAGGAAGGAGACCGGGAGATTACGAGTAGCCGAGAGAGTCCCCCTGTGAGAGCCAAGAAGCCTCGAAAAGCCAGGACGGCTTTCTCTGACCACCAGCTCAATCAACTGGAACGTAGCTTTGAGCGGCAGAAATACCTGAGTGTGCAGGACCGCATGGACCTGGCTGCCGCACTCAACCTCACTGATACCCAGGTCAAGACCTGGTATCAGAACCGCAGGTAAGGGAGGCTATGTGGGGAAGCACAGGTACCTAGCCAGCCAGGTCATGACCACCATACCTATCTCCTTCCCCTGCTTTGGGGGACTCGAGGGCCTGAGACTTAGGGGGCCTAGAGTGGGTGCTTGGGTACTTTCAGGCTGGAGCAGGGATTAGCCACACCTCTGAGGTGTGAGAAGCCACTGGGCAGCTGAAGTTTGGAGAAATTTGCACTTCTAAGTGTCTTTAACAGGTGCTTCATTCCCTCCCAAACCCTAGCTTCTACAACTCCCCCTACCTCACCCTCAAATCAATGAAGCCACTTCTTCTCAAATTGAGACTTCCATGCAGCTGACCCTCAGGCCCAAAATTGCCAATGCATTGCACCCGTTGGGCCTGCCTCAGGCTGGTTCTGAATGCCCATGACCGACAACAGCCCCTCTATTGCGTTCCCGGCAGAGCTGCCTCACTGACTTTGGCTTAAATGTCCTTGCCTTGGCCACTGAGGCGGCCAGGAGAGGCAGGGTTGGGGCTTTGGTCAGAGCAGTCAGTGAGGCTGGAAGAGTCCAGATGGGCAAGGGCTGGGTCAGCAGCCATATGTGGACAGTTGGGCTGCTGGCCCATGTCTGGGCAGGGGGTCTGTCCCCTGTACTGGCCATCCCCCCTGCTGCTTCGATAGGGAGAAAGGGCACCACAGAGCCCACCTGGAACCCCTGCTTCTCTGGAAGGGAAATTAGCAAAGGGACTGGCAGTTCTCGCAGGCCCCTGAACTGTAGAGCAAACCTGGGCCATCCCAGGCTGACATTATGCTGTGTTTACCAGCCTGGCGTTTGCCTCCCTTTTCCCAATTTTTTCTCCCCCTCCTTTGCTCCCGTTGTGTTCTAATCGTCCATAAGTGCGGTTGGAAATGCCCATCCAGTTGTCATCTTTACCATAATTTTCTGTCTCATTACATATGGTTTCGGCCACCCTAATTCTGTCGGAAAACATTAGTGTCATTTGTAGCCAATTTAAAATGGGCGACATGTTTATTAATTTGGCTGGAGCTGCCGGGTATGGACGGCCCACCAGCCCTGCGTCCCTTCTGAAGGCATTTGCTCAAAGGCGGCGTCGGCTAGCCTCTTCTTCCGGGTGGGGGTGCGGTGGGGGAGGGAGGAGACCGAGAAAAGCTGATCACAGGTTTTAATTGTTACTATCTCCCTGAGGAGAAAATATCTTGAAATGCAATTTTCCCCCGGAATGGCCCCGAGGTACTGTCCCCTTGGGAGAGCCCTCCCTCAAACGAATTCCGTTTTGAAACCTTGTCGTCCTCCTCTCCCTAAGCCCCCTGCCCGCTGCAAGGGCCTGTCAGGCTGACGAGAGAGATGTGTCTCCACAGACCAGGGACACATAGGGGCCGGGGTCCGAGGCCCAGGAGTCTCTGCGTCCCTTTGTTTGCGGTTTCTTCCCGGGGCTTGGGGGGAAGGGGGAGGGGCGGAGAGCAGACACTCGAGGGTTGTTGGGGGGCCACGCGGGAGAGGAATTAGGGGAGGGCGGAGGAGACCGCTTGCGGAAAGAGGGGTCTCACTTGGCCTCCAGGAGAGTTTAAGGAAGCAGCCCAACTAGGAGAGACAACAGCAGGGCAGAGGGTCAGGAAAAGGCGGCGAAGCTTGTAGGATTTCATTTGTGAGTGTCTCAGATGTTGAGGGTGTAATTTACGAAGTTGACTTGGGTTTGGGTGGTTCTGCTAGCCGCGGGTGTGGTGCCTCGCTCCTTCCCCGAGCTCTTGGAGTCCTCCTGCCACCCGGGGGAGGAGGAAATGGGGGGGGGGAGAGAAGGGGCAGGGGCCGCGGTGCCCCGACTGTGCCCACAGCCTCGGAGTGCGTGCACGCCTGCTTTATTTCAGGACCAAGTGGAAGCGGCAGACCGCGGTGGGCCTGGAGCTGCTGGCCGAAGCGGGAAACTACTCGGCGCTGCAGAGGATGTTTCCGTCGCCTTATTTCTACCACCCAAGCCTGCTGGGCAGCATGGACAGCACCACGGCGGCCGCCGCGGCCGCTGCCATGTACAGCAGCATGTACCGGACTCCTCCGGCGCCCCATCCCCAGCTGCAGCGGCCCCTCGTGCCCCGCGTGCTCATCCACGGCTTGGGGCCCGGGGGGCAGCCGGCCCTCAATCCCTTGTCCAACCCTATTCCGGGCACTCCGCATCCCCGGTGAAGAGCGAGCAGCGACGCTGCAGGCCTCCTCCGCCCCGACCCGGACAGCTGTCCCTCCTCTTCCCGCACAAGGCCAAGGAGCTTCGCTCGCAGCTGACCCCGAGAGGCTAAGGAGTAAGAGAGGAAGACGCTCAGCAAGGGCAGGGGGGCCCCAAAGACGAGACGGCTCTCTGCTCTCCATCTCCCCACCCCCGGAGGTGGGGCTGGAAAGCTCCCCCACAGCAGTGTGACTGGCAAAAACGCTGACCCCACACAAAGTGCGACCAGTAAGTGAAAACATCGACAAAAACAAAACTTCAAGTTCTTTTTAAACACGACTTTAGGGACAAGCAGGAGGGAGGGGGGAGGGCAGAAGGAGGGAAGAAAGAAGGGCACGGAGAGGAAACTGCACGAGCAGAGAGAATTGTAGATGGACCGACAGACAGACTCGGAGGCGGAGGGCGTCGACGTGGACATTCCGAGTGCCCCAGAAAAAAGAGGAGGGTAACTGAGAACTTTGCACTGATTTCTCATGACCTTTTTTCTTTTGGAAAAGTGGCATGCTCCATAATATGAAAAAAAAAATGTACATTTGACAGACTGAGTGATAAGTGATATATCATATTTATTATATGTTGTCCAAAAAAGAGTCACTTATATACGTTAGTAAAAACATGATTTTTCTTTTCATGTCTTTTTGATTCAGTAAAATAAATGCTTAGACAAAAATATAGATTTTTTTTGTGATTGAAAATTAAAAAAAATAAAGTTTATCTTTTTTTAACAAGTGATGAAATCCAAGGGAGCTGATTTTACTAAAGCAGAATGTATGATAAGGAAATGCGTAACTTGGTTTAGGAAAAAAAAAAAAATCCCTCCCGGCATATTAGGAATTTACAAAATCTGTAAAGACGTTGGGTTGACTTGTACAAAAACAGCTCCATTTTTCATGTTGGCCTCTGCCGAGCTGTTATTTGATATGTGAGTTCCTTTCTTTTTAAGTAGACGGTTTCAGGCCGTGCGGGAGAAAGTCTGCTTTGTAGGCTGTTGGTACTGGGTAAGTGCGCGGCCAACTTCCCCTGCTGTCCCAGCTTGCTTGGCATCCCCCGTTTGGTCAGTGTGGGGATCCCTTTGTCCGCCCCTGCCCCCTTCCCTCAAGGTCGTCCTGGGGCAGCGAGGGTCCGGAGCGCTGGGCGGTGGACACTCAGGCAGGGGCTGGGTGGCGGGCGGATAGCGCTCGGTGGGCCTCGCAGCTGTTCTGCCGCCCGCGGCTGGGCGCCCGAGCGGCCGGACAGCCTGCGAGCGGGGGTCTGCAGAGCGCGCAATTAGGACGCCCCGGGGGAGGCGGACAGGCCCAGCTAACAAACCCTTGCTGTGACCCTGATTCTTTCCTTCTCGGTCTCCAGCGGGCATCCCCTCCCTAGCGTCGCGCCGAACCGCTAGTCCGGTGAGTTCCCAGTGCTTGGAGCGGGAATGCAAAGGCGAACTCTGCCCGCGAAAGGCGTGCCAGGCCTATTAACCGCGCCCCTGGATCCTCTGGGACCAAAAATAAGAGACCCTGCCCAGAGGGTGGAGGAGCGTGTGTGACTGTGTGTGGGTGTGGAAATGACCGGAGTACCCCGGCCAGGATCCGACTTCGGCTGCAGGCGCCCCCTTTCAGATCAGCCCCCCACTAGGCTTAGCGCTCAAGACTCTACAGGGAATAACTGAGCGGAGGGTTCAGGTCTTGGTTATGCCCCACTAATCTCCTGCCCCAAGGTCACTTCCCGAGTAGCCAGAATCAGATCCCCCATCTGGGTATCCTCACATATCTGTTCCCACTCCTGCACTAGTACAATGACAAAGGAGTAAGACAATCAGCACATCCAGACCTGCCCTCCAACTTTCTCTGACGCTTGAACCTTAGTAGAGTTAAAAACATACGTGTATTTTTTAATGCGGAATGGTGTGGAAGTGTGTGTTGGGGGATGGGGGGAGGGATGGGAAGGAAGACAGCAAAGAAAAGAGGTGAAATCCGGGAGGAAATTGCCTCCGGCGCCTTGATCAGGCCTTGGCTAATTAGGGAGTGGTTTGCAGATTTCTCTCCAGCTCATCAATTTGCTGTAAAAAAAGGTCTTGGTCTTGTTTGATTCTAACAAAAGAATCTGGACTGGCCCTTCTCATTTTTTGCCCGCTGGGCTGGGCAACCTGAGACAGCTGGGCTTGGCTGGAAACTGGGCACTGTTGTGTCCAGTGAGGATGCCACTGCCCCAGCACTCAGCAGACTCTCCTTGTTCCATCTTAGCTGCTGTTGGGTTTTACAATCAAGTTTAAACCATTCGAAAATGGCTTAAAAAGCCATTGCCGTCCAGTCGATTCCATTCCGACTCATAGTGACCCCGTAGGACAGAGTAGAACTGCCCCATAGGGTTTCAAAGGCAGTAATCTTTACGGGAGCAGACTGCCACATCTTTCTCTTGCAGAGCAGCTGGTGGTTGGAACCTCCGACCTTTTGGTTAGCAACCAAGTGCTAAACCACTGCACCACCAGGGCTCCTTAAAAATGACTTCCCTGGGCCTAAAATTTAGGCACTCTCCAAGGCTTGCGGCGGGGGGTGCAGGGGGTGGCTGGAGCTTTTGTCTGTACTGGACTTTGGGGCTGGGCAGCTCTGGGCCCAAGGGTGACCCGGGAGGTCACTGGAGTTCACATATCCAAGCTCCCTACAAAGAATAACCTCAAGTTTGGTTGGGAAAAACAAACAAACCCCCAGATCCAAAGAAAACCATAGCACCTGGCTGCTGCCAGCAGCCCGCCAGCAGCCCACCAGTCAATTCACCAGGAAGCCTTCCCACTGCTGCTTCACTTTTAAGACCGAACCTGGACTCCCCAGGTGGACAGCGCAGGGGGAAGCATTATGTCTACAGAGAGCAATGTTCCCTGATTAACCTCTTGCTCCACTGCTGGAAGCAACTACTCTGGATCCACCAGAGTCCCTCCAAAGTCACTTTTCTTCAGTCATGTTTTCTCTCAGTGCCTGAATGGTACAGCTCAAAGCATCAACTCCCCTTCCAAATTAGCCTTGGTTGCTTGCTCTTGCCTACAAGTTGGCAAATTGGATGCCGAGGGGAGTGTCCCAGGAAGAAAGTTGGTTATTGAGTTGCTGCTTCTTTTTACTCTTTTTTTTCTGAAAAGGGCACCTCAGCAGGTGCCCCAGTATTCAGCCGTCTTCAAACTACTGCTTAGAAGCCAAACGCAAATCCACTCCTTTCCCTCACAAGGGATCCTTCTGTCCTTCCATGCCTGCCCAACTAAGTTTGGGGGCGGGGGACTGGCTAAGAGGTGAGGGGAGCAACCCAGGTTTTTGAGAAGCAAGGAACAAAATAACAGGCGAAGGCCTTTTCGCCAAGGAGATCCAGAGTTAGTTATGAGGCTTAGAGGCTGGCTGTCCCTGGGAACTGCATTCCTTTTCATTTTCCCACCTTCAGCTGGTGTCTGAAGGGCACTCCACGGCTAGACTCCGTTTGGATTGCTCCTTTGATTAAGCTGGGGCTGGCAAAACAGGAACTTTCAGTATCAATCTTGACTTGTTACAGAAACACAGGAAAACAAACTTGTTTCAGAGAGATGTTTAAAAAGCCACTAAGGCCCCTGAGATTTGCCCACCCCAAGATCAGCTCGGGGACGCCAGCAAACCTAGCACAAATCTGCAGTGAGTTTGAAGGAGGAAGTCAACACTCAGGCTAGCAGCCAGCTGTTCTAGCCCAAGCCAGCAATTTTCAATGAGTTGCAAAGTAATGATTGTTGCTTGGCTCCATGCCTCCAGCAGATATACCTACCGCCCTGTATCAGTTTATTTTTGCTCCATCCCTTAAAATGAAAGCCCATATGATGGCAAATTAGACAGCAGATTTCCTCTGTTGCAAATAAAACAGCTTACCCTCAAACCAAGCCTTCCCTCCTCCTCTCTGCCTGCCATCTGACTCCTGCATAGGCAGTACTTCCCCAGGAGTCTGCTGAATCCCACCTCCCTTCTTTAAACAAATGGCTTGTGAGTAGTTTGTTTTGTTATATTTTTAACTGTCTAAAAATATTTGGAAAAGCTCTCCCCAGGGCAGGGAAACTTTAGTTCCTGTTAAGTCACGTGGTTACAAAAATACACTGGATGAGAGCTGCTTAGTTTTCTAAAAAGCCAGGCACAGCTTGAAGTCAACATGCTTGGAAAGAGACTGGTGGGCACATTCAGGGGCAGGGCTGAGCCTCGGAGTGAAGTGATGTCTCCTCCCCAGCTCCAAATCCTTGGTTGAGGGAAAGGTGGCTTGTCTCTTGCCCCGGCTACTAGGGGTAGGGGTGTGGGGAGAAAAGAGAGGGAGACAGGTGGATGGGTGAGTGGAAGGCTGATCTGATCGGAGGGTTTACCCATGGATCCTGCGACAGTTCCCCAGGGTCCTTGAGCCTTCCGCTAGGTCTTCATCCGATCCCACTTCCTCTGCCATGGCTAGCTTTCCTTTCTGCCACTCTGTCTTTTCCTGGAGTTAGGGCTCCCTGCCAGGGCCCACTGCTCCTCCCTTCCTACCTTTGGCAGGCTAAACACCCTCAGGGCTAGGTAGGAGTGTGTTGGTGCGGGGGGGTTGAGGGTGCTTTCAGAGAAAGGGACAATCACTGGCCTCTTGCATTGGAAAACCAGGTCAGCTGTCTGGGGTGAGGAGATGACCCAGAAGGGACTATTTCCTTCCCTCCTACGGGGCTGAATTTTGAAGGTGTCTGAGGATGCGTTCAGGGTGAGTGTTGCTGGGTGGATCGTCTGGGCCAACCCTGCATTCTCAGTTTGTTTTCTAGCTTTGTCTCTCCTCCGGGGCCTCCCTCACCCGGGTTCTCTCTCCTAGCACCACAGACAGCTCCCAGGGCGCGTGGCTGAGCGAGGTGCCAGGGGCTGGCGGGTTCCAGAAGAGGCCTGGGCGACTGCAGGGGGCGCGCGGGGGAAGGGTCGGCGGCGCCTGCGGGGGAGGTCTGCGAGGTGATTACAAAACGTCCTCCCCGGCAGGGTTTCCTGATTAGCTCTAAGTCCAAACAGGGTCACATACCAAAGAACAAAATCTTCAGATCAATAAAGTAATTCAAAAACCAAAAGATTTCGGGGTAAGTAGTGCTCAGTGGCAGATCACTCTAAATCGTCCCTGTTTAGTAAGTTCTTAGTGGAAGCCTGCTGGGGAGGATGGGGCCTCAGGTCTGCTGCTTCGATCCCTTGCGCCGAGGCTGCGGTGAGGTCGCCAGTGGAACAGCTCTAAATGGCACGTTCGAGCAGCTTGGCGAACAGTTGCCTC